CGCGCGCGCAGTAACGCACGATGGCGCGGACAGTGTCACAGTGCCAGGCAGGCTACCATCCATGAGCTCCGTGCGCGACTACGGGGCCATATCATGCGCCACGCAGGCGGAGCAACACTGCACTGCAGCCAACAACAGGCACGGTCTGCCTGCCCTGCCCGGCGCCGTACGCGCAAAGGCTACAGCGTACAGTACGTACCGAACGACCGAGCCCCCACATGGCGCGCCGCACATGCACCGCGGACGCGCCCACGAACGACCACGAGACGTGCACCGCGTACGTACCGCACGCTTTTCTGATGAATCGCGACTGCCGAGGCGAGCGAGAGCTGGAGACTGACGCCGGCTCGTCGACGTCGAGGCAGGCAGGCTCTCAGGCTTTTTGCCGACGACACGTCACACGGCCCCCGCCGCAGCGAAAATGCAGGGAAGCCTAAAGCTAACACGTGCAGTGCGAAGCCAATCAGTCGTGTCCGTCCACGAGCACTGCTGCACGAATCCACGATCCTAGTCCGGCCGGCTGGCGGGCCTGCCTGAACTCAAATTATTGCTATGTTATCGATCACGAGACGGCCGGGCGGCCGGCAAAAAGCCGCCACGAGCCAGGCCCAGCACTGCACTTCATGGGCGCCGCAGCGAGAAGCTTTGCTCGTGCAAGCCAAGGCCAAGCCGTTGCCCGCGCCTGCCTGTCGCGCGCACTGTGACTGTGACTGTGAGCGCTCAGGTCAGTGGGGCCATGAGTACTCATGGCCACTGCTTCCGCAATGCATGGCGCCCCGCCCTGCTACAGCCTTCAGCCGCTCTCGTCGGGATGGGCACTGGCGCAAAGTTGATAAGGGCACTGGGCTACCGTGGGCCAGCAACGCCGCGACGGGGAGGATCACGCGTACGTACGCACGGTGCATCGCGATCGCGAGCCGCGAGCGCCGTAGCATCACGTATGCGTTATGCTGCATGCAATTGCACACACAGGCGGGAGGAGGGAAGATGCATTGCCAGCACTATCAGATAGCACTGCAGCTGCAATACTGCAGTACGGTGAGTTGTATACTACAAAACAGTACGTGAGATGGCTGGCCAATTTAAAAAGACGTACAGGGCAGAGGTAGGACATCATGTCGTACCGTACAGCGTACTGCGGTATTCTGTTCTGTAGTCGTGGAGGAAAAATATTATTTTCTTGTAAAATTTATTCTGAAACAAGGTCGCATAATTATATTTAGACGAGATGCCGAAACAAGCAAGGTAGATATTTATTACAGTACAATTTTGGGGTCGGGCTTACGGCCCTTAATGGAGCCCAAACTAAGTGGAAACTTGGCCACGATGGCCCATAACATTCATGGTAACAACCCCTCTGGCATCGGCTGCAGGGGCCACGAGACGGCAAAGACCGTTTGACTTGTCACCACCAACACCAAAGCATCCAGAAGCCGCCGGCCCGGCCGTGCGCTGGAGCGTTCGGGAGCACCGTAGCAGCCGTTCTGCTGGGCGCCGCAGCGGCCAGACGGCCAGACTGCCAGAGCCATCTTTCCGCAGCCATTATGGCTGTCGTGGACTCCGGCATTTGGATGTAGTACATCCACAGGCAACACGGCAGAGGGGAGCAGTCAGGGGTCACCAGGTGAGCAGGGACGCAGGGAGCGAAACGCCTCTTCCAGTCTTCCTCAACTCAATGCTCATCTGTCCATGGCGGGCGAGCCTGAAACGAAGCTCACCAACGACGCCGGGCGGGCGGGTGCGCGCGTGGGCAGTGGTGCTGGACGGACCCGGTCGTGGTCGGCCGGCGGGCGGGGCGCCGACCGAGAGGTCCCAGGCTCATCTCGGGTGTGGCTGCGTGGCACGGCACGACGCTACTGCCGCCTTACCGGCAAGTGCAAGCCGTCGGCACGTGCAGCTCTGCTCTCGTACCCAAAGAGTCACATGCTCCTCCGACGCCCCAAGTCTCGCATTGGTCACCGCACATTTTCGATGCGAGAACGCTGAACGCAGGCGCGTGAGATTTGAGGAGTAAAATAGTAGTCCTGTGCGGCGGAGCACTGTGCAGTCACGAGGCCACAGAGTGCACCGTATAACACGACAAAGAGAGGGTTTGGCATGGTACCCCTTTTTACAGTTCTCAGTCCAGTCCAAAACTCTGATAAACCCTACAAATAGGAGTATATTACTTTTACTTGAAAGCGTCAGCCGCGAGTTTGACTACTGTACAGTCGCCGGTGAGGGGCCGGTCCGGCGGCACTCCAGCCGACGCGTCTCCTCCTCCGCGACGGCGAGACGGGACGACACGGCGTGCAGTGCCCCTCGTCGCGGGTCGATGCATCTTTCTCCGTCCCGGCGTCCCCTTTCTCTCTGTTCCTCGATTTAATATTAACCGATACTGCTACAGTCAGCCCTCCAGGTCGGGGGGCCTGAGCTGAGACGAGTCCAATCCAATCGGGCACTGCAGCGATCACTGGGCTCTGATTCTCCTATGACAAAAAAAAAAAGAACAAAGTGTGGATATTTTTTTTTGTGCGATATTTGTTTTGGTTCGTCCGTCTGTCCACGCCTGCGATCCCACGACATCTCCCGCATGCTGCGTCCTTTGGTGCGATTCTCCTTGATTGAATATTGCCTGTCATGTGATAGATAAATCATGACAAAATAGAAAGTAGAAAATTATTGTGCTATCCATATACACATTGCATGTTTGCATGCACCAGCATACATGGCAATGAGCAAAAAGAAAGGGAATTAACACAGAAGGAAAGATAATTAAGACAAAAGAAAAATATCTTTGCATTTCTGAGAACCTTGCCAAATCTACCTACATTTAATTACTTTCCCTCTTTGCATTTGCAAAAGGGACAACTTTTTTCCTTTTTTTCATTTGGTTTCACGCTCACGTGTTCCATCGCCATCGACCTCGCTTGCTGTTTTTTGCTGAAATTGTCCTTAGGTTTGTTCATTTTGAATCATTTCTCCATATTCTAATTAAACTATAAAATTTTAAATTAGGATACGAGGTAAGATATGCAAATAGATATTTCAAAACTACCTGTAGAGTCCAAATAACTTAATAAATAAATCCTTCTAGAGGCAAAGCAAATTCTCTCTAATCTTTCATTTGGTGTAGTTAGTGTTATCATAGTACCCGCATATATTCATGGGAAAAAAATTGTGGACAAAGTGTGGATATTTTTTGGTTTGACATTCCAACATGGATCCATCGTCCTGCCAATATCCTTGAGGTAGATCACATAAAAGATGAGAGTCCCTCTATGAGATTGTTCACAAGAGACTCAAACTTATATCTAATCATGGTAATGTTGAATTGCTTTGCATCAAAAGTATCGGCAATGATAAACGGGGACATATGTTTTAGTATGCATAGTGAAGGAAAACTCAACCTTGGCCTTCTCAGCAGCTTTTTGAGCCTTTACAGTGCTAACTTGTCCTTACTCAGATAGTCAAGAGGTGCACCATAAAATTACGCACCACTAAGAAAAGTGTCACAATTGGTTGCCTTGACCTAAAAATGTGTCGAAATTAAGAATTACAACACCTAATTCAACATCTTGGAACAGACACTCAAGTGGATACCTTATTTTAGAATATATGTTTGTATGGAATAGTGCTAAAGACATGCATATTTATACGATGAGTATAACCTACTCTGTTTTGAAATTTTATAAGAGATTTTTTAAGACACGCAGTATTATCTATGTGACAGGCACTAATATTTACATATATACTCGAACCTGTGTGTACATGATTATATGGAGATGCAGTGAAATTTATTCATGGATTTATTGACGCTATGAAAGAAATGGATATCGGAGAATTCTTTCTGTCGATATAAAATATTATCTTAGACATATCACGAAAAAGTCTATACAGTAGAGTTTGTGAGCCTGTGATGCCGCGCTCTCCGTAACTATGTTAATTTCACGAACTTTGTTTTTAAATTAAATATCACTTTAACGTCGATATTTAATTTAATAATATTATTATTTTATTGTATAATCCGTGTACTACAAAAGATTGAGTTGTTCCGTATCCCCGCACAGAAACGCTGCCTAGTCCATCTGCTAAAAGAAACGCTGCTAATCGTGCAGCTAGTATTAGTTGTTAATTGAAGCTAGCTGGGCTGAAAAGTGAAAACTCCTCGCCATACGTCCATACCAGTATAGTACGTACCATTGTGTCTGATGCTCTTCGAGCCTTTTCAGCCTAAACTCCGTAAAGAATTCTGACACCGGAGTGGGACGGCGTGCCCTGCCGTGCAGCCGCAGAGGCCCGTGAGCAATCGAGCTTCGTTTTCAGCTCAGCTAGCTCATGCGTGCGAGACTCTCATCTCATGAAAGGGCACCTCGCTGACTGACTGATGCCATCGCAGGCAAGCAAACGAAACCAGACGCCTTTTTTTTAGTCCGCGCTCCGGCGTGTCTGTCTGAGGACGCGCTGCGTGTGTACACGAGTCCCCGGCTCCCCGCACCGGGATACTCGTACACGCACGCATCCCCGCCATCGGCGGCCCTGGTACATATAAACAGGTGTTGCGTGATCGACGGCCAGGCCACTGCCCTTCCTTCCAGTCTCGCGGTCGCCGGAGAGAGGCCGGATCGCCGCACCGCAGCGGTTACCTGCAGCCGACGGCAATCGGGGAGGTAGGGCTCCATTGGTATGGCTACTTACGATCAGGATCTCGTGGGCTGCATTCGGAAATTATTGTCTGTTTTCGTGCATCTCATCCGTTGTGCTTTTGTTTTCATGGATGTGTACAGAGATCGGGTTTTCGTGTGAGTTGAGCTGTTGCTATCAATCTATCATCAGTTTGCTCAGCTTTCTTTTTGGAGCTCCTAGGATTCATAACTTCGGCGCCATTTGCTGCCTCTTTAGATTTTAGACCTTACTACAACGACTTGTTTGTAGCAGCGAGCGAATGCAAGCTCCTATTTGATTGATCTCGGGAGCTCCGACACTGCGCGCAATCCCAAATTTGACACGGAATCACAGCAATGTCAGGTAGTAAAACGCGGTTTTCTTGGTTTCTTGGCTGAAACAAAACGATGGAGCTGACGCGCCGCTCTCACTGCAGTGAGCCATGCCGACGAGCACGAGATATCTCTGTGCGACCCCAACTCCGAGGACGACCGGCGGCGTCGGAAGATTGGGTCGCTGCCGCGGAAGGCTATCCATGCGCTGCGGAAGAAGCGCGCCCGGCGGCGCGTCACTGACTTCCGGTTCCCCGCGGCCATCTCCATCGAGGACGTCCGCGACGCCGAGGAGGAGCGCGCCGTCGCCGCCTTCCGCGACCGTCTCGCTGCACACCGCCTCCTCCCCGACAAGCACGACGACTACCACATGATGCTGAGGTTCGATCGATTATAGGGGAGGGAGAGCCCTCATTCTAGCTATTCCCCATTTGCCATTAATGACTTCATCTTGTGCGTTGCCATGATGATAAATGCAGGTTTCTGAAAGCCAGGAAGTTCGATTCCGAGAAGGCGATGCAAATGTGGTCGGAGATGCTGAGATGGAGGAAAGAGTTTGGTGCCGACACAATCTTGGAGGTGATCAGAGACTTCAGATTCACAGTTTTGTTTCACAAGCTGTCAGACCTGTTTGATTTTTGGTTTCTTCCATTGATGGACAATCGGGATTCGGGATTCATTTTGTCAGGACTTTGAGTTCAACGAGGTCGACGATGTACTCCAGTACTATCCTCAGGGCTACCATGGCGTCGACCGTGAAGGCCGGCCGGTGTACATTGAGAGGCTGGGCAAAGTTGATCCGAACAAGCTCATGCAGATCACCACGGTAAATCGCTACATCAAGTACCATGTGCAGGAGTTCGAGAGGGCCTTCAGGGAGAGGTTCCCTGCCTGCACATTGGCAGCCAAGAGGCACATTGACTCCACTACCACTATACTGGACGTCCATGGTGTGGTATGCTGATGGCCCAGTGACTGCGCTGAAGCATTCAGTTTTCATGTCTATGTTGCCAGTACTGTCAGATTGTCGTCGACTCAGTTTCTTACTGTTGTTTCAGGGGTTCAAGAATTTCTCAAAAATTGCAAGGGAGCTTGTCCAACGTATGCAGAGAGTAGACAGTGACTACTATCCTGAGGTACCTGTGCATTCGAATGAATGTGCTGTGCCAGCTTGTTTCGGTTGAGCAACATTTCTAACTGAAGATGAATTTGCAGATGCTACATCAGATGTATGTTGTGAATGCAGGCAGTGGGTTTAAGCTGATCTGGAACAGTGTTAAGGGATTCCTTGACCCACAAACTTCTTCCAAGATCCATGTAAGCTTGATGAGTAATCTTCTAACATGGCTCATGTTCCATATATACATTAATGCTGTGGAATAAGAACTTATATATTCTTCTTCATAGGTTCTTGGTTCGAACTACCAGAGCAGACTTATCGAAGTTATTGACTCAAGGTTGTTGCCAATTTATTGTGTCAGAATTCTTTAGCTGTATATTCAGCTTACCACTTACAAAAATACGTTTTTGTGTTTGTGTTTGCAGTGAATTGCCAAAATTTCTTGGCGGATCATGCACATGCAGTGACAAGGGTGGTTGCCTCAGGTCTAATAGGGGTCCATGGAATGACCCTGTCATTATGAAGGTATCCTAATAAATTATATAATTCTGTAACCATGTCTTATATAGGTTCATGCTTTTGCAATACATTAATCCAGCAGAACTTGTGAACTTCATGTGGAGAACATTTTCCTGTGACAGGAGAAATATTTGCTTTCAATTCCTCTTCAGGCATAAAAGAGAATGAGAGTCCATCTATAGACTAATGACTATGAAATTTTAATTGTAGCTAATACACAGTATGGAAGGTGGTAGTACTAGAGAAATAAAGCAAGTTTCTGACGGGGACGAAAGAAGTGGCTCTTCCCTAAGGGCAGATAACCTGAAGGCAAGGTTCTGAAATTCCATTTTCCTAAACCATTGCAACATTTAAAGACCTGGCTACAGCTTTAGTTTCCCAGGACACTGATATTATTATTTCTCTTGGAAGCAGGGTATGCTCAGTGACATATCAAACGCTGAATCTGAGTCGGATGTTGATGATGTTGGTTTAACAGCTGTCCAAAAGAGTACAGACGACAGTTTACTTACCCCAGTTCATGAAGAAGTATGTGTCGTGTTAATTTATCGAATTCAATCATTATTTACCTTAACTAGGATAAGCATTGTTCTATGTGTCCAGTTTCTGTAATATCTTGTATCAATGGTACCTTCTGTGAGCTGATTTTGTATCTAATGGTTTTCTTAGGTTAAGGGGTCAGATTCTTCGATATTCAGTAGTTCTGGCAGTGAGCATCTCCTAGATATGACTCCTCAGGGCTCCCCTCCAATGGAGGTGCCCATTCATTTGACCTGCCAGAAATATTTTCCTACCTTTGGGTGGCTAAACAATTTAGGTATATCTTCTCCTCTTAATTTTTTCCTTGAACACTCTTTTACTTGTGATATAAGCTTTCCTCTATTAAAAAGTAAGTGAATGTCTATTGCTTCAACTTTAAAACATTGAAAACTGTTCATTTTGTTGAACAAAAGGTTCCTCGGTAAACAATTATAATATGAATTTATCATTTCCATCTGCTTGATGTCTTTGTAAAAAAATTACTAGTTATTAATTGAACCATCTGATATAAGCTTTCCTCCATTAAAAAAAATAAATGAATGTTTATTGCATTGAAAACTGGTCATTGTGTTGAACAAAATATTCCTCGGTAAACAAATCTAATCTGAATGTCATTTCCATCTCCATGATGTCTGTACCAAAACATTACTAGTTAATAATAATAATTGAACCATCTGATATAAGCTTTCCATCATTAAAAAAGAAAAGTGAATGGCTATTGCTTCAACTTTAGAGCATTTAAAACTGTTCATTGTTTTGAATAAAATATTCCTATGTAAACAATTCTAATCTGGATTTGTCATTTCCGTCTACATAATGTCTTTACCATAAATTTAGTTACTAGTTGAACAATCTTTTAACTTTCTTTGCAAATTACTGTTCTTCCTGTGTAATTTCAGGGAATACTTATATTAGTTTGCATGGTACATCTGCTGGAAGGACTTTGGAAAACCTTGTTACTGGACTGATCGCAGTCTTGATCAGAATATCATCTTTCTTCCACCTTTTCGTCTATAGACAAGAAAGATTTCTAGAAAATGTCCATCCTTATGCTGCAGCAGAGCAACCAAAACCTCAAGTTGTAAGAGAAGAGGACATGAGTGCTTGCTTACAGCGTCTCAAGAAGCTTGAGTCACTGTGCGATCACCTCATGAGCAAACCTCCAGATATGCCGAAAGAGAAAGAACTTGTATTGTTGCAGTCCTTCGATCGGATTAAATCCCTTGAGGCTGAACTGGACATGACGAAAAAAGTAAGTTATTTTTTCCTACTAATTACTCTGTAGATTCATAGGATATGAATGTCGTAGAAGGTCATTCCTAGACAAAATCTGCCCTGTCACGATGATTCCCAATTCTCTTGTGTTGTTGCATTTGTATTTTTTTTTTGTTGTTGCGATCATCCTCATTATCAGAGTGATTTATTGTTACTACTGGTTTATGATTGATTCGTCTTGCAACATGTTTTAAGATCTAGTATGATCTATGCGCTTCAGAGTAACATATGGTTTTTGGTTTTTGCCAGTCTATGGATTAAGAAACCTGCTATGTTCTTACTGCCCTGTATTGGCATCACCTTTTTAGTTTGCTCCCCTGATGCCATCAATTGTCCTTGTTGCATCGCCTTTTGTTGAACTCATATCATTGCTGAAGTTTCTTTCAATGGACATGGATGCTTGCAGTTAATAGCTTTGACCCGTGTTTTGTATCTCACCAGGCGTTGCAGGCTGCCGTGGAAAAGCAGATGGAATTGGTGGAGACGGTGGAAGCTCTGCAGCACCGACCGTCTAGCGTTAGGGTAAGCCACTCATGAGAATTCCTTTGTAGGCTTGTTGATGCAAACTTACCATTTTGAATTTCTGATTACTTGTGCAGCGGAGTTTTTGCTGTTCATAGGAGTAAGATCGTCGTTGTGCCCAACATGTCTGGGTTAGCTGACGCTGCCGGCGCCATTTTCTTTTTACTCGACTTTTGAAACATGGCGCCGCCCTGTATGCGCGCATGTAAATCGATCAGTTTTTGTAGCTACTAGCACCAGTCTCCTCCTGCTTGTTACACTTTGGCTTCTGTGAGACACTGACCGATCTCCAGAGCCTTGCAAAAATGGGTTGAATGCCAAAGCTTCTGGGTGTCTTCGGTTGCATGGCTTCCTTCTAGCCTGGTCAGGAAATAAACCAGGCTAGCAACTAGTGTCTTTGGTTGGTTGGTTTGGCTTGGATAGAGTCACCACTTAGAAACTTCACCACCTTTGAGACAATTCGTCAAACACGTGAACTTCACCACCAGGTTTTTCCAGCCGCCACATCTCCTGCCCGTGCTGGTGCCCATGACGCGGAGGAGGACGCCACCAACACCGACGAGGAGGAACTCGCCTTGGCCAGCCTGCTCGCCTGCCCCCTCTTCCTTTGCTTCTCGCCATTGCTGCTGCTCTCGCTCTAGTCCCCTCTCCCCCAGAGCCATGCCGACCTCGGCCCTGCCCCTCTGCCGCTCCCGCGCCCAGCCCTGGGCGCGCGAGACGAGATGCACAGGGATGTCCTGCTCCTTGCCGCGCAGGACGACGCAGGTCCGGTGGCAAGCAGGAGGGCGGCGCGCCTTGGTCTTCCTATAGGACAAGGACAGGCCATCTCGGTTATCCACCCGGCAGGAGGGCGCTAGGGAGGGCGTGGGCCCGAACCGGGGAGGAGGGCAGCGCACCTTGGTCTTCCTATAGGCCTCCTCCACCTGTTGAGCCCAAACATGGCGACGACCGCCATCTCGCTAGGGGATACCAGGAATGACGGCGTGACGAAGGGTACCGTGGGACAAGGGCCCCCGGGGAGGAGGCGTGGTGGCCGATTCTACTCTCTCTCATGGGGAGAAGCACGTGAAAGGCGGAGTCACGATGGGGCGGTGAGGTGAACCTCGTGCAGGGCATTTAATTTTACAAGCACAACCGATCTCAATCGAGAGGCTCTGTTGAGCCATGACAAACACGAACACTTGCACCATTTGGACCGGACTAAGGGTGGTTAGTTATGGCCAGTAAACCTGGCTAGGGATAGCCAGGAGATACGCCCTAACACGCCCTTGGTTGTGCTGTGCTGCCTACCTTCTTCCACTGTGAACGGCAAGATCTTCACGAAAATACGTGTCGTTGAATCGTGTCATGTGCCCTTGGCATTTTGAGCCGTCCATAGCACTGGCTATTTTTGAACGCTCCCCTCCCATTTTGAGTTTTTGACTCGGCCCGCGCGCGCCGGCCCCAACCTCTGCCCACGCCCCCCCTCCCTCCACCTCCGCGTGACCCTCGCTTCGTCACGCTGCCTCCCGCACGTTTCTGCTCGCCGGTTAACCCCCTCCTCGCGTCCTCGCACACGCATTGCCGCGCCGTCCTCGATCTCTCCTCTCCCCTCCCTTCCTTTCTCTTCCACGGACACCGGAGGAGAAGGGTTGATCCGATCGGGGAGGAGGCGTGGCCAGAGATGGGTCCCCACGGAGGCATTGCGCTCCGCGCGGTCGTGCTCGCCGCCGTCCTCGGCTTCGCCGCCGCCGGGTTCATCTCGAGTCGGTTACCTTCTGATACGCATACGCCGTGGATCTGGTCTCGGGTTCCTTCCTGGTTCGCCTTCTAACGCCCCCGCCGTTCCGCCGTGGATGCAGATGACGCGCTGCTGGAGCGCGGGCGCGACACCACCGGCCGGAGCCTGCTGCAGCAGAAGAAAGGTGCCTGCATTTTCACCTCTTTTCTTGGGGCTCTGTTCTGTTCTTGATCTCTGCCGCCGCCGCCGGCCGTCTGATCTGGTTTGCGTCTGGGACAGATTGCCCGGTGAGCTTCCAGGACGCCAACTACACGGTGATCACGAGCCGGTGCAAGGGCCCGCTGTACCAGCCGACGCTGTGCTGCGGCGCGCTCAAGGACTTCGCGTGCCCTTACTCCACCTACATCAACGACGTCAGCACCAACTGCGCCGCCACCATGTTCAGCTACATCAACCTCTACGGCAAGTACCCGCCGGGCCTCTTCGCCAACACCTGCCACGAGGGCGACAAGGGCCTCGCGTGCCCCGAGGACACCCCGCAGATCGAGCCCGGGCAGAAGGCCTCCGGCGCGGCCGCCGTCGCCGCGCCGGCCGCGGCCCTGGCGGCCGCATTGGCGGTCTCGTTGCTCGTGTCTTGCTGAGAGACCCGGATGGCGCCGATGGCCATTGTGAACAGAACAGGGAAGAGGCTCTGAGTTTGAGGCTGTGACAGCGCAACCGACTGCGTTTCTGTACCACTTTTTTTCTGGATGGATGGTTCTCAAGATATCTGGACATCTTTATATCTGAATGAAATCCGAAAAGGGTGGTAGATAGGCAATGCTAATCAGCTAAACTCTGCTTTCACTTTTTGAACATGGTAAAATTCGTGAAATGTATAGGAGCAAAAAAAACACACAGTGCTGTCGCCAGGCCGAAGATTTTGTAACTGTCTCTGGATTTTCAGGGGCTCTGATTACGTTCGAGTACAGTCCCTTCTCAAAAATTAGGCAATACACACAGGAGTAGATACCATTTCCTTGTCAGACATCAGTTATTTTCGCCATTTTTTATCTCGGGAAAAAAAGGAACACGTTCTAAAACTGTAGCCCTCAGAATAACCAAGAGTTCATCCAGTGCATCTTTATAGTGAATTTTCTTGTTAATCTGAAGCTCTGAGTAACTTGCAAAATGCAAAGACAGTGACATCGCTACCGGAGAAAAATGGCCTGCTCGGATACCTTATCCGGCGCCCTCCAATGGGCACACGCCATGGCCACACCCGCAAATCCTCGTCTCCTCCACCACTAACCTCGCATTCCCACGGCCCCGCCATATCTGCCAAGTCAGCATCCCACTATATACCCAACTCCATTAATCAAGCAGACACGTCGTAGCTACCAAGATCAAGAGGAAACACCACCGCCGCCGCCTCCAGTACTCAATTCAGGAACACCTACAGCGCCATGGCCACATCGACCGCCGCCGTGCTATCCCCGCCGTCCGTGGCCGGGCTCCGCCTGGCGCCGTCTCCCCGGCGGGCGCGCGTGGCGTTCCGCGCGGCGCCGGCGCGGCGGTCCGTGGCGGCGCGCGCGGAGCTGAGCGCGTCGCTGGTGATCAGCCTGAGCACGGGCGTGTCGCTCTTCCTGGGCCGCTTCGTCTTCTTCAACTTCCAGCGGGAGAACGTGGCGAAGCAGGTGCCCGCGCAGAACGGCAAGACGCACTTCGACGCCGGCGACGAGCGCGCCAAGGAGTTCTCGGCCCTGCTCAAGTCCAACGACCCCGTGGGTTTCAACCTCGTCGACGTCCTCGCCTGGGGCTCGCTCGGCCACATCGTCGCCTACTACATCCTCGCCACCTCCAGCAACGGATACGACCCCAACTTCTTCTGAGCGGCGGCTGGCCGTGTTCTTGAGCTTGTATTCTACTCCGTGTGTGTGTTTGGCTCTGCGCCATACATGTATCTGATGCTCAAAGATTGGTTAATTTGGACAAGTAGTGCAACTGCGCGTGTATAGTGCCGCATGAATTTGATCTTCCTCTATGTCTCTATCTTCTTCAGTTGCTGTCCCTGTTTCAGTATGTCATGCACAAAGCCAAAGCCAACCTATGTTGTGCCAGTTCATGACTTGCGAACAACACATATATCAGCAGATCAGATGTCTTATACAGTATAATAAGTGAACATTGTCCAGGGGAAAAGAACAAGCAAAAATAGCATTTCCAGGATCCGGGGAAGGGGAACCAAGGAGTAGTTTTGCCGCAGTGTAGTGATTACTGGTGAAAACGGAGTTGATGTCACAAAATTGAAGTTTCTTAGAGTTGATGCCTAATAGATAACAAAAAAAAAACATTTTTTTAAGAATACCTACATGATATTTTCTGACCGTGCAAACAAAAAACAATTTGAACAAGTAGTGCGACCACATGGTTTTACTGCCACGTGAATTTGGTATTGGAAGAAGCAAGTGCAATTCAGTAAGTAATATCACTTGAACAACAAATTCATCAGTAATAACATAATAAACAATTCAATCGCATTACACGTCCAATATAATAATCATCACATCACATTACACGACTGCAGCAGTGGACATCAAACTCTGAACCGCTACAGAATTCTAAACCATGAAGGAAGGCATCAGAGAACGCCTCACGGTGGTTAGGCTCCCACATCTTGCTCGGATACTCTCCCGTGGTGTGATGGGATGCATTTTCTTCTGCTTCGGCTGTTCTAACATCATGGGGTCCTCGATGACGCGGATCTTGCGCTGACTCTTGGCGTTCTTGGCCTCCTGGTAACCCTCTCGGAGCTTACGCTTGGTAACCAGCATCTTGTCGGATTCACTGCAACTACTGCCAGCGACGGGAGTCCTCTTGGATGGAAATTTGGCCGGCGTGTCTTTGATTTGCGTCTCGTCTTTGCCGGTGGCGACGGGAATCCTCTTGGATGGAAATTTGTCTGGCGTGTCTTTGATTCGCGTCTCATCTTTGCCGGTGGTGACGGGCACATTGGTGTTGAGGACGAAGGCGAGTCTCTCTTTCTCGGGCGGCATTAGACGAGACAGGTTGTTAAGGGCCTCCATAGCTGCTATGGCGCTGTCCAGTTCGCTCTCGACGGCTAACTGCCACCGGCGCATGACGTCGCGCGTGAGGCTGCGGATCCGGGCCGACTCGTGCTGCCCAAGGGTGGAGACGGACTTAGCAAGGTCGCCGGATGCCAGCGCCCTCGACGACACGGGCACCTCCAGCAGCGTGACGAGGGACTCCGCCATCGCGCCGGCGAGAGCCAAGCAGAGCTGCTCCGCTCTCTCGTCGTCGTCTTCGGCGTCGCACAGCATCTCGACGATTCTGCCCCTTAATGACCGGAACTCGTCGCGGGAGATGGACGGGTGGGCAGCTTCGATGGCGGCGTCGATGTGACCGAACGCCGAGAAGAAGCGCTTCCAGCGGCGAAGCGGGCCTAGCCCTGACATGGCGGCGGCCGGCAGCGTGTCAAACCCTAGCCTAGAGATTTTGTGGCTGTGCGGCCTGCAGGTGGATGGATGCAGTGGCGGTGGAAAAGGAGGATATGCAATGTGAGTTGAGAGAGCTGCCATTGATTGAGACAAGAACGGATTGGCATGGCGGCTTAACGCGCACGCAATGTGACACGTTTCGGCAGGATATTCAGATCCGGTTTTGCTTATGAAGTTGCAGTATCATGCAGTAGCTCACTCGTCCGATCCAACAGCATTGCCGCCCGAAGGTTGAATCCGATTAACAAGCCTGGTGCCTGATTTTCTGCCGCCTGATTTTTGTGGCCATGCGTTTGCTTCGAACGCATGGGTTTCATTGAATTTATAATTATGTTATATCGTATAGCCCACATAAAACATCATGGCAGATCTCAGCATAAACTACCAAGGTGACGAGATGCCTTTTTGGACATTATGCTGACCATAGCAAAAACTACACAGGTGGCATTTCCGGAATCCAGAGAACCCAGAAGTACAGTAAACTCATATTCATAAAGAAATTACTAGCAAAATCGAGTTGATGGTACAAAATCGAAAATTTGTAAGGCGATTGATGCCTAATGAGTTACAGTAAACAATCTTTAAACAATGCCTACACAAAGGCTGACTGGCATAATTCTCTAACCTCAAGTAGGTACAATCTCGGGAGAAGAGGGCAGAAAGCGAGCGAGGAGGGTCCCGATGGCTATGCATAGCAGCACAAACTGGACAGAGCAGAACAAGGAGGCCCTGCTAGCTCTGGCCTGCAGCTTCAGAACTTCTGAAGTCTCGGAGAGCTCCTTGCATTGTGACTCTAGTTTATCCACCATCTCCTCCAGCATCATCGCCCTGTTCTCAGCATGCCACAGTTTAGTTTCTAAGGATTTGTGATCCGCTGGAAGGGATTTCTGTGCCTCGTCAAGAGCAAATTGATCCATGGTCAGGAGTTTCCAATCCTGAGAAGCTCTTGTAAGGATAAAGCACTGAATCTCTGCCTCCATCTTCTCCAAGAGCAGTTGGTCTACATCAGACTGTAGAGACAGCAGATCGTTGTTACATGCTATGGTATTCTGTGGTTGTACTTGGCTGAGTGCATCTAGTTCAAGTATTTTTGAATCCTGCTCACTGATGACCATGGTGGCTTCTTCGAGCTTCGACTCGAGCATCTTTATCTTCTCATTTAATTCTTCCACAGGTGAGCTGCTCCATTCTATTTCACTTTGGTGAGTGGTGGAATCTTCGTCAGTTTCTTTCCTGATTTCCACAAACTTTTGGATCTCTGCAATATATATAGAAAGAAACAGTCAATGGAAAACAATTGACAGGGGCAGAATAAGATTTTCTTAGAACAAAAACCATGTTTTTGTAGGAAAAGCTAAATAAGGTTTCAGCAGATCATAAAAATATATAGACGAGTAATGACCATGCAGCATATGTTAACTGGCACAACAAAACTTACATAGAAATATAGTATTTCTCAGAAGAAGCAAAATAAGCATGGAAAAGATGCTAGCTGAATACAACAACGAATACTCCACTTCCAAGAAGTTACGAAGCATGTAAATTACTCATTTTCAGCTGAAAAATCTAAACTACACAAGTATATCACAGCACAGGGAAATTCCGGCAGGTGTTTCGCAGTCAGCAATTGCGGAGTAGACTTTGTATCCTTGGGGAAAAAACCATGACCTTTGAACTGCTTGATGGCTATGATATGTCAATCAAAATGGCAAAAGGTCAAAGCTACTGCATTTGTTTTAGAAACAAGCATGCCTTCACCTTGACCAGCTCTTCTTACAGGTAAAATAATTGTTTAAATAAAAAGAAAACAAGGACCATTTGGCAGGATATTCTTAGCTAAACTCTTCTAGTGGAGCAAACTCGTTCAAACAGTGGTGTTCTATTGAATCAACCACCATCAGCATGAAAGAAGCATGAGAGGCGTGAAATAAGTTCATCAAAATATTATCCTATAAAACCAAGCATTCCTGTATTGGTTGCCCCTCTTCAATCAATGATTTCTCATTTACAACAATTGCCCATTTCATTCCAGCAAATAGAGTAGCCCACATCATAAATGTAAATTAATTAATCTCATTGAGAAAATCAGGGCATCACCCCTAACCTAGCAAACCAAAAGATCAAAGATGCTTGCATGTCCATCAAAAGTAGTATTGAACAATTATGACACTTAGATCATTAATCAAGCATGCCAAACAACAATCAACTTTGTCTCTTCAAAATCATGAGACGCTATGCAACGAGCAGAATTCCAATATGATTTAATAGTCTCTAATAGGCAAGGTTTGAATAATTTGTAAGTTCGCAAGTTAAGATGGTAGTGAGAAATCCAAACCATACCATTCTCAAGCGCTTCTTGTGCCGACTGAAGCAACGCCACCGACTCAGCATACGGATCCAAACCTGAATGAGTCCCTCCATTCTCAAACTTGCCGACACTCGCTTCATGAATGATATGATTGTTGGAATCGGAGTCACAGTTCCCCAATCTCCCTACTACACTCCCATTCTCCTTGTAGAAACCTCCAGTAGCATACCGCAGGTCACCACTTGGAGGTTCGTCGTCACTTTGATGACCATCAGGGAATAGAACCTTGTGAACACCGTTGCTTGTGACGCCAGCACTAGATCGCCGCGCATGAGCAGCGTTAGAGCTTCGGAGGTTGGACTCAACGCTGGAGCGAGAATTCTCTGCTTCAGCAGGGGAGGAGGCAACGCGCGCACTAGCGCCGCGCACACGAGCAGCACGTATGCCCTTGCCGTGAGCGGCGCCGGGGGCGCGGGATCGCGCCCTGTCGCGCTCCCGGCCGAAGCCGACGGACGAGAAGTCGTGGCGCGGCGCGCTGGCGGCCGTGGACAACTTGCTGGTGCGGTCGTCGCTGTTGTCCGAATCGGCGCCGCCGGCGCCCACCGAGAAACCGGCGGTGGCAATCAGGTGGCCCAGATTCGGGTCCAACCTAGTCAGCGCCGGCGCCGGAGCCGGCGGTGGGGACGCCTCCAGCGGCACGAAGCTGGACTCCACGGACGCGACCGAGCTCTCGACCTCCTCTGCAGCCGCATCCTGCTTTCCCTTGGGCTCGTCGGCGGCAGGACCGTAACGCCGCTTGTGGAGCTGCGCCGCCAAGTCCTCACCCGCGCTAGCTCCAGCGCCGGTACCGGCCCCAGGGCTCGCCGGAGACCCCTCGTGGTGCTGCTCCCGCGGGATACGGCGCCACCGGCGGAGCCCGCGGCCCTTGGTGACCGGTTCGGCCGGCCGTGTCTGCGGCTCGGGCTCCGGCGCCGGCGCCGGCGCCGGCGACTCGCCCACGCTGTTGGCGCCGGAATCCATGCCGCCCGCCACAGGAATTGATGTCGGAGGCCGCGGCTTCAGAAGCCGGATGGGATGAGTTGCCGCATCGGAGGACGGGAGGCACGAGGTCTTGGGATCGGCGCGACCCCTTGGTTGGGGCTCTTGGGATCGAAATTCCCCAGCTCGGGCCTGGACGCCTGGAGCTGGAGATCCAGGAGTGGAAGGCGAGAGGAATACTTCATGCAACAGTATTTTTCACTCACGATATTTTAACATAATAGCGTAAACTAAATTTTAGTATAAGCCAACAGGTTTAAGTAAACAAACCAGAAAAAGGCTGATATTTTTCCCCTTATCGTTGTGGTGTTCGCTGTACGCGGCTAGTTCTTTGTGTGGGACCCGTGTCCTAGCTGGCGGGCCCTACAAAGTACACACTAGCCGGCGTCATGCAGAATCCGGGTCACCACTCACCGGTCACCGGTCACCGGCCGCCGGGTGTTACCGCAATCGGGCCGCACGAAGAAGTGGTTGGGCTCGCCGCCGCTCCGCTCACTCGGGGCCCAACTACAGAAACGCATTCACGGCCCAGGAGCAAGGGTATTTTTTTTTTTGAAACAATGGGAGCAAGGGTAATTGTGGTAAGCAACGCTGCATACACGTCGCCCGTGCAGCGCCAAAGGCACCCGCCGCCGGGAAGAAGGTGTCGGCTCGTCACCGGCGTCTGGCGTCGCCGGCCTGCCGCCCCCCAGCCAACCGGCCATTAGATTGAGCGTGATGATTGATAACACACGCAGGCGCGCGCTGGTCGATTTATTTTCGCTCAAGACAAGTTCGTTATTACACTACAAGCCATGGCCATTTCCAGTACAGAGCAGTGTCAGCACAGCGCCACAGCCACAGCCACAGCCACAGCCCAGTAGCCCACAGCTCTGCATTTCGGGGCCGGCAACTGCATACGGATCAGGCGACGCGGCGGCACAGCGTGAGCCCGTCGGCGATGGCGACCTGGCAGACGTGCACGCGGGGATCGGCGGCGATGGCGACGTTGAACTCTCTGGTGGCTGCGGCGAGCGGCTCATCGGGGGACGCGACCACCGAGCCGCTCCACAGCGTGTTGTCGTAGGCGATGAGGCCCCCGACCCTGATCAGCTGCAGCAGCCGCTCGTGGTAGTTGAGGAAGTTCACCTTGTCCGCGTCCACGAACGCGAAGTCGAACCAGCCCTTGTTCACCTCCTGCAAGACAAAATCGCAGCGGTCGGCATCATCTCTGCACCGCGAGAACATTTGCACATGGATGCGGTTCTGTGTAATTTCTCTTCACCTCGGCCACCATCTGGTCCAGCACGGGCAGCGCGAGCCCGACATGGAAGTCGATCTTGTGCGCCACGCCGGCCTTCTGGATCACCGGCAATCCTATCTGGTCGTAGCTCTCGCGGGTAACGTCGATGGCCACAATCTGCCGCGCCAAACACGGCGACCAAGGATACAATACAACAAGGATCACGCCGCGCGCGACACCCAACACAACACAGATTGGAAAGTCGCAGTGATGAAGTGGTCACGCACGCACTGACCTTGCCATCGTCAGGGAGGGCGAGGGCGGTGGCGAGCAGCGAGTAGCCGGTGAAGACGCCGACCTCGACGGCATTCCTGGCGCCGAGCATCTCGATCAGGAGCCCCAGCAGCTGCACCTCGTCCGGCGACGCCGCCATGCCAGCCCTGCAGCGCGTCTCAGCGCATCCGGACAGACGTCAAACACGTACCGTGCAAGAAGCGCTCCGAGCGCAGGCCAACACACGGAACGAGCAGCTAGCGGATCCGTGGGCGTGACTCACATGGGGTGGGTCGCGGTGGCGACGCGAAGCTCCCGCAGGCAGTCCGGCTCGCGCGGGAACACGGTGGATTCCAGTATGTACTAGACGAAGCGAAGAAAGGTAATCGCCGACGAGCGGTTATGAAGTCTCGTGGGATGAAACATTGCTTCGTGCTTCGGATGGGTTACCTGGTACAGTGATTGGCTCTTGAGGAGGGTCTTGCTGTGGAGGCTGCTCCCAGCAGCCGTCTTGTTGCCTTCTCCAGCGCCGGTGGAAGCCATCCTCCGACGGAAGGTTTTGCTATCCGGCGATGTTGTTGCGGGGAGGTCGGAAGGAGACAAGGAGTTGTTTTGTTGTCTTCAAGTTGCCGGCCGGAGGGTAGGCCATCATTCTATATACTCCTCTAATAGAAAGAAGGTTAACCTCGCAAGAGGAAACGTGTGGGCCTCCACCGTATGGGATTGGGCTCTGAACTGTAAGGCAACTTATGTGAGATGTGTTTAATGGTCCGACAGGCCCAAAGGACCGAAAGGCGCGAGACATCAGTGCCCCCTTAGGTTTCGTTAAAAACGTGTTTCCAGCAGAGACAGAGCACCAGGCAAAAGAAATGTGCTCTGTCACAAGCTGCTCATGGGAACATGAGATGCTCCCTCCTGCACTAGGGTACTGCAGCAGAAAACGGCGCGCCGAACAATCTAGGAGCATGCCAATCCTGTGAGGGTAGGGATGAAGGTAAGGACAGTGTCACAATAGCCTCATTTGCATGGCATATGCAAGAACAACAGTACAACTGTCCAAGTGTCTGTCATGAGAACAGTCTGATTATCTGAACTTCTGAAGGCCAATGGGCAATGGCACCTCATCAAATGCATAACTTATGTAGAGATTGGAATAGAACTTCCTTTTTTTTTTTAAATGGCGCCTCATCATGGTCAGTGCTCACTGGTCACTGGAAATCCTTGCGGCTAACCAACAGATTGAGGAGATGGATCCGAGAGTCACAAGTAGTGCATTCCGTCCATGGTATTTATGCCGGGCCATGTCCATGGCTGCCGCTAGCCTGCTGGTACTAAGGTAGGAGTAGGACCTTGATCGGTACCTCTGGACATGGACGTGACCTTCGTGTGCTCAGGCGAGGAGGCCTTCAAGATGGAGGTGGGCTACTTCGACACCGTGCAGGACGTCAAGGAGAAGCTCCAGAGCCGCCGAGGCTGGCCCGCGGCCGCCACGTCGCTCCTCCACAACGGCGGCGTGCTTAAGGACGACGTCGACGGCGGCGGCAGCGGCATCGAGCGGCACGGCGTCGTGGAGGGCTCCGTCATCTACGTCGCCCTCCTCGACGGCCAGCACCAGCATCCGCAGCAGAACAAGAGGACGGAGAAGAGGAAGAGGCGCGGCGAGGCCGCGCCGCCGCCGCTGCGGGTGACCGTCGTGTCGCGGTGCGGCGAGGGCCGTGTGGAGATGGCCGTGGGCGCGCGCGCCGCGGTGTCGGTGCTGCGGGCGGAGCTGGAGCGCGCGCGCGGGGCGGGGGCTCGGTTCCCGCTCCCGCGCGACGGCGCCTACTTCTTCATACATGGACAGAGCGTGATGGACGAGTCGCGGTCCTTCGAGTGGCACGGTGTGGCCAGCGGCGACGAGGTCGTCGTGTTCGACGGCTCCGTGACGAGGAACCCCGCGTAGATTGGCGGCGCTTGCACACATGCCCGCCGTCGCCTACGACCGGTGAAATTATGCAAACCTCCATGCGAGCAGTTATAAGTTATAACTCATGGTTCCTGAATGAATCATTAGGCGTCAGACAGTGGCAACCAGCCTGCGAATCCATACAAAATTGCCGTCAAAACGCAGCGGTACCTGATCGGTTTGATGTCTGATCTCCACCGATCGGCTCAACGGCTAATTGGGCCCTTATCCGCACCCTGACTGGAGCGCTCAACCGCTCCATGGTTAGTAGACCCCCGTCACACAGCACCATAAAAGGGAAGATGGGGGCCGGGGCACACGGTACGAGGTTCCCCAGAGCTACCAGACGTCCCACCGATCATTCCCTAACGCTAACCGATCTAGAGAGACGGTGCTGCCAGCGATGGAAAGCCGTCACCGGCTTCACCGTCGCCTCTGCATCGCCACCACTACGCTGGACTCCACCGCGCCGAGCTGCCATGACACCGACGTCCACGTTGTTGCGGCGCCATGGACCCAACTGTGCTAGGGCGAGGTACGGGGACAATTTCCCCATCTAAGTAAGAATTTTATCCCCTGATCTACGATATTAGAGGTACTACAACCTGTCAATGGTATCGGAGCCGGGTTCTAGTATAGATCTAAATTAGGGGTAGCAATTTAGAAGAAGATGAGAAAGATCTAATTCGGATTGAAAGAGAGGGTTCCTAGCCCTAACCCTAGAAGGGGAAGAACAACAGAAGAAAGAGGGCTCAATTCGGCCCGATTCGGATCGACCCAGACATGAACCCTAACCCTAACTCGCAATTGGTAAGCGGGGAAGATGAACATTGGGTTCAGTCAAACCCTAACCAGCCAGATCTGCGACTAGGGAAGGGGAAGAAGCAAAAAGACACGAGGGTTTGAACCCTAACTCAAACCCCTAAGCATCAACCCGAACCTTAATTCCATTGGGGAAGATGAACAGCTAAAGCCTAACCCTAACCCTAATCTCCAATCAGTAAAGAACCGAGAAGAACACAGCAAGATCCAAAGACAAAAGAGGGAAAGGGGAAGAGGCCTACCTCGACGCTCCACCGCGCTGCCGCCTCATCGGCGCGCGAGAAGTACTCCGAGCCGATGCTGCTCGTGCAGACTCTGTGAGATTTGTGCTAGGCGCTTGCTGCAGAGCCGCTGACGGCCATGGCGCGCTCACCCGTTAGGGGAGCGCTTGGCTTGGCGGGCGACGGGCATCATACTCCATTGCGCGCTCTCGCTCTCGGTCGCCTGGCTGTGGCTGAAGTGAGAGAAGGGGAGGAGGAGAGTGAGGCTAGGGTTAAAGGGGGCCGGCCACGCGGGGGGAACGAGGTCTCGCCGCCGCGGACGACGGCGCCGCCATCTCCCTCAGGCCGTCATGGGCGGCCACCGCCGCATCTCACTCGAGTGCGGGGGGAAAGTGTAGAGAGAGGAGGAGACGATGAAGAGTGAGATTAGGGTTTGGGGGAGCGGCGCCGGCCGGTGTTTTTGTTTCGCCGAAACGATCGAACAGCCGTCGGATTTGAACGGACGGCGTGGATCGATGGGCGAACAATCGGCCCAGGTGGGCGCGCGCGGCGCGCGCGGCTTTGCCGGCCCAGGCCCAGGTTGCGGGCAGCGCGCGTGCAAGGGAGCTGGTCGGGCGACTTTTGCCATTTTGGGCCGAGAACCAGTCAAGATTGAGCCCAGTTTTTTCTTTTTTTGTTTTCTACTAAATGTTTATTTCTGGAAAATGAAAAATAGCTCAAAGAAAATAGTAGAAATGTGAATTTTCCTGTGGGTAAAATTCACAAATTATGTTTAAGTTTTCGTTGCAAAGTTTAATGCTGATTATCTTTTAATTAAATTCAAACCAACGGGAGAATTTAATTTGAAGAACAATTATATCATGTTGATCCTCTAATTAAATTGGAACCAACGGGAAAATTTAATTAGAGGAGTAGTCGTTTTTTTTGTTTAAGTAAGATTATGGTATTGTCATTTTCTGACCAACGTTGATGATGACAATATTATAACGAATTTAAGTTTAAAGTTTAAATCTCTAAAAAAATTTACACCAATATGGTGATTTTTTCTGAGAGTTGATAAGGACCATGAAATGCTCCTGAACTAAAAGAATGTATTTTATTATTAAGTTTCCGCTGCGATGAAGTTGATTATCTTTTAATTAAATTCGAACCAACGGGAGAATTTAATTTTGAAGAATAGTTATATAGATTTTAAGTTAATTTCTGAGTTTTATGCATTAATTCTATTTTCTGTCCAACGATGATGTAGAATTGATGCATAAGCATATAGTATGTTTTATTTTTAATCGACGAGATCACTCGGCTACATGCCAATGGGCTGCAATACTAGGGTATGTGAATGAAAATGCTTGAGTCAAGCCAGTTCAGGACAGTTTTTGTTAGTTTACTAATTTTCAGATTAAATTGGAACCAACGGGAAGATTTAATTGAAAAATAAAGTATAAGTGAATGTTTTAGTCGTCATGACTAAGTTTTCATATAGATATATCCCGCATGGAGAGAAGTTTTGGCATAGTAATTATGCTAGTCCATCCTGCATAGCGGGAGAAGTTTTATGATGACTCATATGTTTTTGTATTCCGCATAGCGAGAGAACTTTGGGTAGCTCTTATGATGTCCTAGTATTGACCTTGGCACAATAGAAATGCATAGTCATGGTCAATATTAACCAAAAGATAAGAAAAGATGCAAGTGTGACTTGCAAAAGTATCGCTAATGAAAGACCTCGTTGAGTTCTTAAAGTGAATTAAAGAAAGTGTACTCCTAAACTGATTAAGAAATAACTTTGTTTACATGACACAATCATATGAATAAAGTAAGTTATAAGTGTCTCCTCGTTTACAGGCTTTCTGAATAGTTATCAAAATTATAGCAGTAAAGTTCATGCCATATTTCGAGGGGGAGAAAAATATAAAGATCAATTAAGAAAGATACTCTTTATTAAGAGTAAGATAAAGATTACTTAAGATGAATGTGACCGTCGGAGGAGTACAACGGTTACAACAATGATACCCCTAAGCAGAGAAATAGCTAAATTCCTGGATTTTTTAAAGTTTCGATAAGAAAATAGCGTAGTCAATCTCAAAGATGTTAAGGTGGTGCTTAAAGTGTCATATGAGATTTTAACATATTAAACCCAAAATAGGATATTTAAAGATACACTATCTTTAGAAAAAGATAAGAATATCTGGAAGAGCATGGTATATAAAGGTATGTAAAGACCTAAAACTTGAAGAGAAGAGGGACTATGTGCCCACTCCAGTGACTCAGGAGCAACAAGTTTCTCAATACCTGTTGATGTTATATGAACAATACAACACCTGTTGTTAGCTCTTCGAAGAAGATGAATAATGTAAATAAAGATCTTGTTATACAGGAGCCTGTAGAATCAATTGTCTCTTGGCAATGAAGAGCAACAACAGCCCCATATGCAAGTGCTAGTAGCTGAGGCCCAGAAGGTCTCAAAGAATTAGTAAATCGGTTTTTTCAATGACTATGAAGTCTATGTTAGTAAAGAAATTCCAATGGATGATGATTCCACCTCATTTAAATAAGCCATGAGAAGCGTTTAATCGTTTAAATGGCAAGAAGCTATGGAAGTTGAAATGAATTAGATGAATACCAACGATGTTTTGGGACTTAGAAGTAATTTCTAATGGAGCCAAAACAGTAGGTTGTTAATGGGTCTACAAGACAAAATGTGACTCCAAAAGGAATGTAGAAAGATATAAAGCACGACTTGTAGCAATATGCTTTACGCAAAGAGAATGAAAAGATTACGATAAGAGTTTTCTCTCCAGTCTCATGCAAGGATTCTTTAGAATCATAATGTTGTTCATGGCAAATTACGATTTAAAGTTATATCAGATGGATGTAAAGACAGCATTCCTCAACGGGGATTTATATGAAAACATTTACATGGCGTAACCCAAAAGGTTTTGTAATGGAAGAAAAGAACATATGGGATGCCGCCTGTAGAAATTCATTTATGGGTCAAAAGTAAGTCTCTAGACAGTAGTATTTGAAGTTGATGAAAAGATAAGAAAGTTTGGGTTTTAAAGAAAATGAGAAGGACAATAGAGTTTATGCTAAGCTCAAGAATGGAAAATTCACTTTCCACATCCTGTGAATAGATGACGTTCTACTCATTAGTAGCGATGTTAATCTGTCATTGGAGAAGAAGAAGTTTTGTCCTCAAGTTTCAATGTGAATGATCTTGGTGAAGTGTCATTGATTCGAGGAATTGAAATTCACCGAGATAGAAGAAAATGGGGTATTAGGACTATCGCAAAGGCATACTTAGAAAAGATTTTAGAGAAATAAAATATGCATGCAAGTAAACCTACGCCTGCTCCTATAATCAAGAGTAATAGTTATGAGAACTTTAAGTGTTCCAGGAACCGATATGAGATCGATCAAATGAACATGGTTCCATATGCTTCAGTTGTTGAAAGCTTGATGAGTGTACAAGTACAAGTAAGAACTTACCCTGACGTGGTTTATGTATCCAAAATATTTTGATAGAAGTCCAGTCCAGATATAGATCACTGGAATGGAGTTAAAAATGTCTTGTAATTTTGCAAAGTATGATAGGCCTCATGCTTAGTAAGAAAGAATAAGAACTCTCAAATAGTTGAGGGTACAAAAGTTAAGTCTTGACGAGATGTGTAGTAAAATCCACAACGGTTGCTAACACTCGTAGTTGAAGTATTATTGTAGAAGAGCTCCAAAGAAACAGTTATGGTGTCATCAGTGATGCATACCATAGTATAGCTTATCATGAGGCTTAAGAAACAGCCAAAAGAGGTTAAGGGAATATGTACCCGGATTTAACAATGGTAGACAACAACAATAACCATTTAAAGTAAGTTAACTCTTAAGACAACAAGTCAAGTGTGCTGCCAAACACATTGACACTAAGGTATATGTTGTAAAGGAGAAAATCCAGAATTATTTTGAAAGCATTGAGCACATAAGTCCCGAGTAAGTACTTACGGATCCGCTTACCAAAGGCTTATCACCCAGTGCGTTCAGAGAACACACAGTCGACATGGGTTTATGGGAAAGCCTATGATTTCTAGATACTAAGGGCCTAGTTGTGTATCTGTTTCAAAACAGAGAGGTACGTTGTACCTGTTTAATCTAATGGCAACAGACCGTGACGATGAGGCACGCTCTATGCACTGATCTGTGATGGAATGGGAACAAGATAAAATAAGTTAAGTTTAAGGTATAAGGTGAGATCAAGGGGTAGAATGTTAGTTTGAACTCCACCAATTGGCCCACCCCTTAGATCCGCGCTCTAATCGGGGGCGCCCAACCGCTCCATGGTTGGTGGCCCCCCGTTGTATAATACCATAAAAGGGAGGTGGGGGCGGGGGCACATGGTACGAGGTTCCCCAGAGCTACCAGACGTCCCACCGACCATTCCCTAAATCTAACCGATCTAAAGAGACGGGGCTGCCAGCGACGGGAAGCCGCCACCGACTTCACCGTCGCCTCTGCATCGCCACCACTACGCTGGACTCCACCGCGCCGAGCTGCCACGACACCGACGCCCACGTTGCTGCGGCGCCATGGACCCAACTGTGCTAGGGCGAGGTACGGGAATAGTTTCTCTAAGTAAGAATTTTATCTCCTTATCTCCTGGTCTACGATATTAGAGATACTACCACCTGTCAGGTCTATTTTCACTTTCGGTGCTTCAAACTTATACCAGTCTATTCCCTCAAAAGGGAAAGGGAGAACACTTGATTTTCATCAGTTGTTGCAGGCCTGAAATACCTGGAGCAGCAACACAAAAATACAAGCGGTTTATACCCAACTATCAAAGCTATTGCATTCATCAGATTTGTATTCACAACCAGAAATTTTGATTGATCGTTTTCCAATTTCGATAGTCTCAAAAGACGAAAGGTACCCTTTCCTTGATCGTTTTCCAATTTCGATAGTCTCAAAAGACGAAAGGTATCCTTTCCCTGATTACAACAGCACCACAGGGTATCATCCTCAGCATTCTTTGCTTCAAAGAAATGCGTGAGCAGAAAAATAAAATAAAGCTAAGAATTGGACGATCCATGAACACTAGAACAAAGCCATGTTGCAGTGTCGCCATCATGTATACAAGCTGAAGCAAATCTATCCCTTTTCTCTTTCCTATTTATTTACATCTGATGACCAAAAGGAGGCCTGCTCAATATCTGTTGGTAAGCTGGTGGAGATGCATTTGCCATTGGGAAGAGTGGTTGCGAGACAGGCTCTACCTTTGGTTCTCCTGGCATCATAAGCCCTGGGTACCCCTGCATAGCTGATGAATTTCCAACGATCTTTGTAGGGGCAAGTGATCCTAGAGAGGGCATTGGGATCGTCATGCCCGGTGGAACCATCCCGAAGCGGAAATTGCCAGTTGTTGGTCCCAATTGTCCACTTGGCGCGAGACCGAAGGAGCTGAAAGGAGAAGTCACACCAAAGTGAGCAAAGCTGGCTTGTGCAGGTTCTTGCCTACGGTGAGAACCACCAGCTTGTGGTGCAGATGGAGCGCTGCCAGAACCAGAACTGCCTTGCCCACTATTTCTGGCTGCTGGAACTTCATGGTTGTGCTTTCCCTCATATGTTGTGATGACTGATTTCAGATCATGTGATGCTCTTTCCACATGCTTGCGCACTGAACAGCCCGGGTGTGTACATTTGTAGTAGCTCCTGCAGACAAGTTAATCAATGTTACTAATTTCAGGGGATGGAGGAATACAGTTAGCAGTGTAAGAAATGGTAGTGAAAGTGTGACCTTGGATTTGGATTGCCCTTAACAACCTTCTGCCCATACTTGCGCCACCGATAACCGTCATCGAGAATGTCTACCTCACTTGTGGTCTGAACAACAACCCTAGGCTCCCGGACAGCTCTTGAGGTTGCAGGCCCCATGTCAATGGTACTGGTGGTGGAGGTAGTAGTAATAGCAGTAGCTCCTAAAGCATCTAGTTCCAGCTTCCTGAAAAAGAGTTATCAGTGTATTCAGTACAATCTCTGCATCAAGTCTTAAGTGGTTAACTGATGGACAATATTAACCTTCTTTTAGATTCAGTCTCATCTTCATCACCATCACACTCTATAGAAACAGTACCATGCGTTGCCCTCTCCTCCTCTTCATTAGACAGTGTTGACGAGACATCAACTGCATCTTGAGACTCCAGGAGAGACGCATCACTATGCGCTGATACAGGAAGAAAAGCAGCTGATCTAGCCTCGACACCTTTGCCTTGCACCTTTACACTTGTCTCGTCAGCTTGCTGTTGGTCAGCTGAATAGTGGCTATCACTGAACATTGAGCTAGATGTCTTCGCTTTAGCAATTGTTGCACTAGTGTTATCCTTGACTGCGGTAAAGCTTGACTGAAGACTGGATTCCTGTTGATGAATATTCAACAAGGACTGCTTTTGCTGATAGGCACCATAGTCCTGTAGATCAAAACTTTTTTCAGGCACATGAATCAATTAAAAGGTATTTTATACAAAAACAAAAAGAGGATATTTTGGTGGTGAGGTTGGCATTAGAAGGAATCCAAATAGTACTATAACACTGCACTGCAAAAAGGAGGAAAACTACAGGTAGACACTAACAATCAAGGAAATAACCTTTTCTGCAGTAGAGAAACCTGTTTGTTCAGAACCTAAGTGGGGTTGGAAAGAAAACACATCATTATCAAATGTAGAATCTTCAGTTATCTTGGCAGCTGGTGGTATTGTTGACTTGTCATTCGTAGCCATCAAAAATGGAAATGTGCCAGTGGTTGGAGAAGGCTGTGCCTGCAATATATCATAACCAATTCAGCTAAGTCCGCATGGCAAATATTAAAGGACAGGCACAGAAATGAATTTGTAAATGTTGGTCCAAAATTAGCAGCTATAGAATCAAAACAGAAGCCAAGCTTCTAAGACACCAATCAGAGGACTATATTTCTAGTATAACAATGTTTTGCACAGTAGACAACAATCAGTGCTGTCGTCACATGCATAAGTAATACTGCAGAAAATCATGTTCTATACAGTAGGCACCAATCAATGTTATTCTATACTGTACCAAATTCAATGTCTGAAAACTGCAATATGAAAGTCTTCAGTGCTTGCTCCAATTATGACTTTATTTCAACCTTGGATAATAGTGTAATAGATAATTCTTGAGAGCACAAGAAACCAATTAAGGAAATATCACATACCATTTTATTGTAGAGAAAAACAGGAGACTCAAGAAGTGTAGTTGGACTTAGACCAGGTGGAATTGACACAGGAGATCGAATAACTGCGGATGAACCAACTCGAGAAGTATCAATTTTTGCGACACTGAAACCTGCTCTCGCAGCCCTGCGCTCCGCCAAACCACCATTGGAGTTTGATTTATGATTAGCACTGAACAAATTTGGCTTCAGGGAGAAACCCTTTTGAAATGGGTCATTGACAGCATGAGCAGGGACCTCCTCGCTCGAATTCACAACTTCTCTGCTCTTTTCGGATTGAGCATGGGGCTTGTTGGTGCCATGTTCACTGAAAAAACCAGAGAATGGCTCGGAGCTGAATTCTTCATTCAGGAAGCTTGACATGAGTGTTCTTGGGCTTGGTGTAGGGGGCAGCAACCATTCGTCGATGAGGGATCCATGGTTACTTGCGCCTGCCATGCCAGAAATCTCTCTCAACTGAAATAAGTGCCATGTAATACGTACCACATTAGTCATGTTGAAACATTAGGTTGCCCGGTAGTAAAATTGAGCAAAAAAAAAATTCTTTTTCTTTTTCTCTTTACATAGCGACGACAACAAAGTTGAAAACCAATCGGGATCATATAGCTGAAGAAATTAGCCAAAAGGCAGAACACAAAAACCAAATAAACCGTATATGTCGCCCTGTTTGTTTGGGCTTGTTTGACTTATAAGCCGTACTTTTTTCAGCCAACGATCAGGACTTTTCTCTCATACCAAATCAGCCAAACAGTACTCTCAGCCATGTCTTATCAGCTAAACAAACCCAAACGAACTAAACTCCGATAAGCAAACGTAGGTGATCTAGAGTTATCATAGTTACTCAAGGTATGCTTAGGGAGAGAAAAGATGATCCATACAAGTAGAAGAGGAGAGAGAAAATAAAAGCGACTCTTGAGAACTAAAAATTGATAGTTTGCATTGTGTAAATAATAGTCTCAATATTTTCTAGTCTATATGGACTACTTTATTTGTTTTGAAACTTTTAGGAGTGTTAACCTCCATTGCTCGTGCTCTGAATAGGCGTATGCCGCTCCTTGTATAAAAATTCAGCTTGTTCGCTGTAACTTATTTGCAAAAAAAAAAAACAGCCTGTCGTACAGTGCCAGCAGAGAGAAGCTACAGTTGCTGGTGCTGCAAATAAGCTGCAATGCTCGTGCAGCCGAATCATTTTGCGATATATCAGTGTTTGGATCAAGTTCGTTCTGCATTTTTAATGCGGCTAATGGGCCCCGACCATATTGCCTCCAAATTCCTACTTGTACCTCTCCAGGGTGCAGTTGATTGAGTGTGGAAACAAACGCTGCCTGTTTTCGTGCAAGTTTCGCCTTTGTCTTCAGTAAGCAAACGTCAACTAAAATAAATTGAGATGACACATAAGTCAAATACAGGAGTTGAAGAGTTGCCAAATCAACTAAAATAAACTGCAACCTTTACAAAGTTTTCCAGAAAATTCATTTACGATTGACCGAAAACACACATTCGAATGCAGAATGAAGAACCCATATTACAGCCCAAGCAAGTAAATTGCAAACCAAGCTGCAAACTTTCCCCCAAGAAAGCACTGAATCCCTGCAACTGGGATGAGAAAAATAAAATCCAAAGACGCGAACTTTGCGATCCCCAAACGATCTCATCAAACCTCAACAGCTCTGAAAAAAAAAAGCAAAATTCTATGCCGACCTATCCGCCTTCATCATAAACATAAACACAGATGCAAGAAAAGGTACAGCCGTCAAAATAAAACAGGAGAAGACTTGCAACTGGCACCTGAACTGGGAAGGGCGACGTCTCCAATACCAAATGATTTGAGTCGAGTCCTCTTCTCCCCGAAAGCGAAGCAGCAGAGCGCGACAAGGCCGTCAGGTACAGGCACGGATCATGTGAACGGAAATTCCTCCTACAAGAACACGAAGAGCTAAAAATGGGGACTCCCTTTATCGATGTTCTTGTGTGCCTCGCCCTTCCACCAACCTACCAAAAGGCTACTACACACGAGGGGAACGACGAAGATCTCAGGGGCACAAATGGAGCTGCTGAGCTTCCATTCCACCAACCAAGAACCCTAAGAGAACAAAGGAGTCGGAAACGGAGGAAAGAAACTCCCAACAAAGTGAGATTTTGCTCCCTCTTTCCGCCTTTCTTTCTCCAGCCTCTCGGTTCTCCGGGCGCGACCTTTTTTAGAGAGAGAAGAGGGAGAGAGCCGGGGAAGAGGAAGAAGAGTAGGAGAGAGAAAGGCGGTTTGACCGAGGAGGAGAAGGGGTGGGAAGGAAGACTTGTATGGAGGATTTTTGTGCAGACGATGGCTCTTTATGGCAAAAAAAATGCTGTCCTCTAGACTAGTGCTCTACTACTAGTCTCCTGGGCCCTGGCTACAGCCCTCTATGGCTCTGCTACTGCTGTGCCTGTGCGTTTCAATTTTTCAACTCTCTCAATTGGCCATCATGGAGTCTATACTGTACATGGTGGTTTTTTTTCTCAGGTCCTGTTGGAACACCGGCATTTTTTTTCTTGTTCCTGTTATTTCTGTGAAAATGAACTAATTAATATAAAATTTCTATGCAATTTTTATAAAACTCCTGCGTTATAAACCGACGCTCAGTTAGGTTTTTCCTTCGGCTTGATCTGTGAACATGAGTCGTAGGATTCTTAACCTATGGACGCGGTGTGGAAATACGGCACCACTTTTGCCTCACTTTCGTCCTAGCTGTGAACTCGTATTCGCCTTGACCACCGCCATAGCGCGCTACTCTGCTCACATGGCAGCCAAATCGATATAGGAAAGTATTAATTGGTCTAAAAATCTCACATTGAGCCCCCCTAAACATTAATTAGTCTTAAATGAGATCAATGTTACTGACAATCGGAAAACATTCTCTCAAAGAAAAGAAAAGGTGTAGTACACTAATATAGCAAACAATGAAGAAGAATATGTTGTGGCACGATCGTCCGAAATAACACATTTTCACGGGTGTTCGTTTTTCACTAGACACTAAACACCCCGAAAGTTTGCTACATTGGATAGTTTCGCCAAGCACACCCCATGAGAGAACTCGAATCAATCCACGTTTTACCTTCAGAATTCAATAATAAGTACGAGCTTACAAAACTTAGTCAATTTCATACAACAAGAGTTCTTGGAAATTATTTATTACAATACCATGAGTTTAGAGTACGATAATTAAACAGCAGAATAAAAATAAACATCTAGCGGAAACGATACAATGATCCATCTGTGCTCACCAGAAGAATCCTTCACACAAGAGCTACTCCTCAAGCTGCACCTGCAACGGGGTAAAATAAACCCTGAGTACACAATGTACTCACAAGAGTTATCGGACAAGTGGGAATAGTTTTCCAACTCCAAGGGGTACGATAGGCAATATGTGTTTGTTGTTTTCTTTTTATTTGCGAAAAACATTACTAGAAGTACGTCCTTAAGATCAAGTTTAATTAGTAGTCATGATTATTTCATTAGCTAACCATTTTAGGTAAGCACATGTTCTACTTTTAAGTAAAGGTTGAGCAATCAGAAACAATTTACCATCTTTCATATTCCAGTTCTTACTACAGTGATAGACCATAGCCAGGTCGTACCGTCTCACAGAAACGGCGATTCACGAACCTATGTATCACGGTTGGGTACCCCGAAACACACGCCACGTTTGTATCCCAGGCACAAATAAGACCAACCCATTCCACTCCTGTCACGGGGTCTAGATCCCCGTCCAAACTTGGACTTCAAGCCTCCACACTTGAGACCTAGTCTCAATATGGTGCTTATACCTTGAAAGGTCCTTGTTGGTTTTGGTAATTGAGTGACAACCTAGGTGGACTAATTGTGTTTATATGAGATACACAGGTGATTAGTCCACAGGTACATGTGTATGAGCAACATATGCCATGGAGGTGAAAATGGCTTGGAGATGTTGCAAAGCTCACACATGTGATGATGAAGGAGCTTATTGCACATGAGACATGACATTGAGTCATGTGATCAAGGTGGAGAAGATCAAGATAAGACTTGGCTTGATGGACCGGTTGCAAGCGTGAAGGGCAAGTCAAAGGCTTTGGAGTGATGGACCACGTGGCGGTGAAGCTTGAGCAAGACTTGGCGCCGATGGACGATAGCAACGGTGAAGAGCAAGTAGAGTCAAGATCAATGAACCAATATGATCATGTGATGATATGAAGTGGATCATATCATTGTTGATCGTGTTGGTGCATGTGTTGCATCGACATTGAAGGAGATGGAATAGAATGCGCAAGGCAAAGGTATAACCTAGGGCATTTCATTTCACCGGTCATAGGTGTGTAGAGAAGTTTATGACCGAGTTTAGGATAGATGGCCGTACTATCAAGAGGGGCAAACTTATTTGCATATCGGTCATCTAGTGCCACTCGAGTGATCTAACTTTGCATTGTCGCTAGGATCGAGTGGCGTGGCAAGTTAAGTGGCTAACATCCTTTGGGAAATGATTGTGAAAATGCTAACACACATTTACAAAGGAGGTGGTGTTTGTAGGGGTGAGAAGCTTATGAGGCGGGATTCGCGCTTTGGGAAAATAGAATGCGCTGGATGCAAGTTCTTGTGGTTAGCACATTGGAACAAGGGTGATGAAGTTAGAAGTGAAAACGAGTCGCGAAGATGTCGAAGATGTCTGGCGTGGGTCAAGACGGTCAATCGACCGGACTTTGGATTCTGAACTGCACCGGAGACCTGGCAGCCGCGTCGGTCGGCCAGCCGGGCGACGATGACGTAGAAGCTGGAGTGTGACCGACGCTGGTTGCGTCCGATCAAGTGTGACGGACGCGTCCGAGTCGAGGTCGGACCTTATTAGAAATGACCGGATTTGGGGTTCAGCGTCCGGTCAGGTTCTCTTAACGTAACTCCGGCTAGTCAAGTGATCGTTGGAATCGGGACACGTGCACGGACGCTGAGGTCCAGCGTCGGTCAACACGACCGAGCGTTACGCTGCCCAGTGAAGGGTACGGCACCCTTGGGGCTATAAATAGAAGTGGGCCTCGGCCATTTCTTCCTCAAGGGACTTAGTGTCCATGCTTGTGAGTGCTTAGGAGCCCTCCATCACACATATATTGATAGTGATCATTCGATTGTGTGAGTGAGCGATTCTAGTGCGATTGCATCGTGAGGTTGCATCGAGTGGCACTAGGTGGTCGTGTTGCAAGCCGGTGGTGCTTGTTAAGAGTTGTCACCTCCTAGACGGCTGGTGGTGGTCTCAAAGAAGCTTGCACTAGTAAGACTCATAGGGGTACTTGTGAGAGGTGCCCGCTTGTGCGCTGGCCATGAGTCGCAAGAGCAACTTTAGTAAAGCGTGTCATTGAGCTACCCTCACTCAAGGGTAGGTTCTTGTGGCGCCCGACGTGCGGGCTTGGCGGGTGATGCCACGTAAATGCCG